CTCGTGATTGTGCTAATCATTAGTTGTGACTTGTGAACTTCAGTCTATACATTCAAATGTGTGGACAAATAAAAAGGGATTCACTGTAATTTACATCTAATAAATTCGGACAAATTACGCAACAATTTATGTTTGATTGTTCAATCAATTCATGGTTTGCATGCTTACAAAATATAGCTAATTGAAGTTCGGAAGCTCCGCTTATCGAACAGTTGAGTAAATGGATTGGCTTGAAACTTTTTATCTGCAACTTCGACGAAAATAAATAAAATGAGTAAAGTATTTGTTTTTTAAATCAATAGAAGCCCAATATAAAAATATTCTTATATTTTTTCGACTTCTCGAAAGGTGGGAGAAGATAGAGAAGTGAATCTTTGTTTGAAGTCTTCTTCAGCATCCATGAATGGATAGACAACATGATCAATCAAACAACATTCCCTTCAAAGGATATACTAAAAATCGGAAATTTGTCCGTTGAACTATGTTCTTGGACATTTGGGGAAACTTCATGTGTTTGACAAAAACAATAAAAAATAATTTCAAATAGAAATGACTAAAAGGAAAATTTTGAAGTTAAGTTTATTTTGAAGTTTAGCTTCTGCTGATCCTCTTTGACAAGTTTCAGGGACAAAGTCTCTTAAATTGATCTACGACGGAATTTCAATACAACGGAACAATATGAAATTGGCAACTTCTCGAAAGGGGGGAGTGTGTCGGAGACCCGACAATGAAAGCACTTGCTTTATTGGGAAATAATATTTCCTTTCCCTGATTGTAATAGAGGCTTATGGGAATAAGTTTTCTCCAGTATGTTTGATACACTATACCCGGTCCCTCACCTCCAGAAAAGGAGATTTTGTTGTGAAATGCTCCCGCTAGACTACAATAAATATTGTCAATCTCTCTTCGAGCGATTGACTTTCCCACACAAACATTTATGGAAAGTTTTATGGTCTTGTCCCATCTCTCAGAGTTTGTGACTATTAACCTTTCTAGTAATGGATTAACTTCAGCTATGTCGAAACTCTCAGAGTTAACGACTTTAATTCAACTGGTGATCAAATGGCTCTTCTAATTAACTGGCTATGTCGCTCACTCTCTGAGAAGCGACCTTTGCTCAATGGGGAAATGCACAGAGCCGCGAATACTCTGCATGCTCTGGCCTGGTCTATTTAAAGAAAAGAAGACTCTTCAAAGGAATCATTAATAGGAGGAATAATGTGATTCACAATTAATTTCCCTTTCTTCCCTTCCCTTTTTCTTGTCCCTTCCCTTTGTAAATAAATTTATATTTTAATTTATGCTTTTAATTTTTTTGTATTTTATTTAATTTAAATAAACTAATTTTTTATTCTTGAATTAATATAAGTAATTAATTATTAAGTACTTCTAAAATAGTATAACGAGTCTTCCCGCCCAATAATTTAATTTTAAGTGGCCTCAACGACTAAATTCACGAGTTCAGGGGTTCTCCCCGGCTCATAGGCATCAGCACGGGCAGCAAAACCAAATGGCCAATTTCCTGGATCCAACGTCTACTCATCTTTGGCGGCATCTTGCCAAACTTACGTCGCAGGCCCTCGGGTCTGCGACAAAGTACATTGAATAAATTAAAAAGAATTTTTCAAAAAGTGTTTATCAAAACTTGAAAATCCATTTTTACAAAGTAAGAATATATGTTCAAAAAAGCTTATAAGGCTTACAAATAAGGCATATGATACAGAATTAAACAAAGAACAAATATTATCAAGAAATTTCGGATTACCTAGTCTTTACTTGGATATAGAGCTCATTATGTAAAAGCAAATATAAAAACAGTATAATTTTTAAAAGAACAATATTTTTATTGATAAAATTGATTTCTTAAAATTTTCATAAACTTTCTCGTTCATCATCATCTTTACAAACATTCCAAACACTTCTCTTGCCGCCATCACTCCTTAAATAAATAACTTCAATTATGAATTTTGTTTTAAAAGACTTTTCAAATACTTTTTGGTAATTAAAATTTTTTAAAAATTTACTGGTGGGAGAAGATTCATTAATCCTTCAGAATTAATATAAAATTCTTTCGACACAACATGTCCAGTAATATTATAAATAAATGGTTTAGTCTTCAAATCATTTCCAAAGTTGGCTTCAATAGAACAACGTCTTAAACCGGCACAAAGTGCATAACCAGCACCAATATCTTCTCTCACTAATACAGATTTACCTAAACATTCAAAAATTGAAACAATTTATCAAAGCTTTTACCCACCAATTTGTTTTCCATTTTGAGTAAAGAAAACGTGAGGAAATTTATTTACGTTATTAGTTGGTGGATACACTAATCCACAACCAAAAATATCTCCATCATTCCAAGAAAATGTTTTTGGAAGTTTAAAGTCAATATATCTGGTTTCAATTGCATTACAAATATGGGCACTATCAATATATAATTGAATCACATTATATCCATTGCTAATACCAATACCCAAACAGTTTCCGCCTCTCTTAACATTTTCAATTTTACACTTTATTTCAAAATAAAAAAGAGAATAATTTAAGCAATCTTCTTTTGGTTTATTAAATTTATTTCGAGAAGTAACACAACCAATTTTATCAAAGCGACCTAAAATATATCTAGATTGTATATTTTTTATGATTTTCAATTATCACAGAAGTGTTTATTAATGCTTTTTACGGACCCTTTTTGCAGCCACAATCTTTATCTCTATATTTATCTCTCTACATAGTATGTATTGTCAGACAATAAAACAAGATTAAATTTAGTGTAGGGCGAAACTTCGTCAGTAGGGCGAAACTTCTGGTAATCCAACAAATCTGCTTAATCCAAAGAATCTGTTTAAATTAGCCTCCAAATAAATCAATATTAACTTCCTCAAATCCTCATTAACAGATTTTTTGAGCACTATTTTACTAACACTATTTTAACACTATTTTGAATCGAAGTTTTGCTCTGGCCCAACATTTTCTACACTAAATTTACTTGTTTGATTGGTTGACAAATGGTATATTGAGAGAAGTAAAGAGAGAAAAATTAAGCAAGCTTACAAAAAGTCTGCAAATAGTACTGTTTAATTTAATTTTAATAATTAATTTAATTAATTTACCATTTCCCTCGTTACAATGAATATATTTAACATTTTCATCACTAATTATATTAACAAATCCATTTCCTTCAATACAATTACCAATATGCTTGTTTGTATTTATACATTGATTTTCACAACATTTCATGCCAATTTCACTCCATTTATTTTTAATTTGAACAACAGTCTAAAAAAACTTTATATTGAATTTTGAATATTAAGAAATTTGATTAAAGCCCGGATTTATATATAGATAAGTAAAAACAGTGAAATAGGAGGTTTAGGGTTTAATTCTTTTCCAATTAATGCAAATATGCCCCAAATAGCTACTAAAGGCGAAAAAGAATTTAATTAAATATACTTTATTGAAATCAGAATTTGAAGAAGCAGCCATTTTGTAAACTTAAATTCAAGAAAAATTATCAGAAAAATTTTTGATAACTTACCGTATATACTGTATTAATTACCCTGGGTAATTATTGTTTCGATCTCTCGCTGGAGGGGGTAATAAAAGCAGGCGGGGTAATTATTTGAGGGAGGGTAATTATTATTTCGACCTGTAAATTTTTTAATTTATTCATAGATATGAACAGTGATATACAATATGTTATAGAATTTAGAGATAAATATTAGATTTTTACAGATATTCTAAATATATTCCCTTAATATTTTCATATGTAATGTACCCCAAGATGGTACAATAACACCAATGCTTCCTTCCTGGGATATATAAAGACACGTGAGCATGTATACAAGTATGTATGATTCCTATTTAGGGAATATACCCTACATTCTCTAAATATAATTTCTAAAAGTGGGGCCATACCAACAATAATTCCGTCTTCTGATATAAAAAGTCACCTAATCAATCGCAAATACGAATTAGAGGCCGATGCCGAATATGAAGGGGAAGAGTCAGTATAATTTCTTTAATGCAATTGAAGAAATTATTTTTCGATATTAATCCAAAAATGCTTAAAAAAGGTTAATCTAGATAGATTTGAGGAATTTTCTGGGAGATCCCAAATCCTCTTTATCTCCCTTAATTCTCATAAATTCCGCGATATCCCCTCCAAATACTTTTATCTCTTGATTTATTTTTTATATTGATCCTTAAAACATTCTTTTATTGAAATTGATAATGATTTTTTAATAAATATTGAAATTAGAGTAGGAAAAATAGGGGGTAATTATTCGAGGGAGGGTAATTATTGTTTCGATCTCTCTGGAGGGGGTAATAAAAGCAGGTGGGGTAATTATTTGAGGGAGGGTAATAAATACAGTATATACGGTATTTTAAAATAAAAATTTTCTTAAAATAAATCTAATTTAATCTAAAAGAATGTAATAATACTTTAACAATTAAATTTAGATTTTTATAAAATTAATTTATTAATTTTGTATTTTTAAACAGTGACAATTAAGCCTCAAATTAATGTACTAGGTGCCAACTTTGGGTACGAGGATGGCACCTAGTAAGTACTAAATTAACTGAAATAGAGAATTTAGTAATGTTTTAGGGTCGAAATTGAATCCAAAAAGGAAAGGTTAATTTTGTTTGGTAATTATTGTTATTTAATTTAAAATTGCAATTAAATGGAATTCTTAATTCACAAAAAACATAATTATGTAAATACTTACATTTATTTAATACATGTATAAATACCTAGAATAAAGGAAAGAAGGAAAAGTGGGCGGGAGATGAGATTAAAATTTTGCTGAATAAATAGGAAAGAAGGTTCTTAAATTTTCCTATTTACACAAAAAATGTTTTTGAATACTAACTATTTTTCTCATAGAGAAAATTGGTGAAGGAAAATATTTGGGGGTATCGAGAGGCAAAATTACTACAAAGTTTTTTTTAATTTTTTTGAATTTTTAGTGCTTAAATAAAATTTCAATAAAATGTTTTATTCTTTACCAACGGAAATCAAACTTGATATCTTTAAATGTCTCAATTATGAAAAATTATATTTAGCCAAACAAACGAATTTATATTTTCGAGATTTTATTAATAATTTTGAAGAGGAACTTGCTCGAGAGAGATTTGATAGCATTTCTATTGTAACGATTTTTTAATTAATTAAATTTTTAAAAATTTATTTAAGGGGTATATCAGTCAATTCAGTGGATTTCCTCTTAAATTAATTAAAGCTAAAGAAAATTTTGACTTTGACTTTTTTGCAAAGCAATATAAAATAATAAATGAACAAATTGAACAAAAGGTTAAATGAAACGAGTAATTAAAGTCAAAATTTCTTTTATTTTTTAGTGGAGCAATGGACTACAAGATCCGATTCATTTGTATTTGCCTGATGGAAGATTAACAGATTCCAGTATTGTCATTTGTTTAGCTAGAGGTAATCTATTTTTTTCGTTAAGCAATTTGGATGCTTTTCAAAGAGTTAAGTGATACTTTTTCCTCTTTCTTTGTCTTGTACGGCTCCATATCTTGGGTCTCGAACTGAATACAACATAAGCTAAAAATAATTAAGACTCAAGAAAATTTTTTAGTTCACTACAATATACTTCAATTACCAACGATTATTAAAACCAAAGAGGACATTAAAATTGTTTTTTATTATTTATGTCGACTGTTTAACTGTTATTTTGGTTATGCCAACTTTGATGAATTCATATTCAATCCAGAATTGCTCCAATTATTATTTGGAAATACTAAAATTCCCAAGCAAATTTATCTTATGCGTGATGCGTTTCTAAAGCATTCTAAGGCCTACAATAGCGAAAAGTTATTAAAATTTGTCGTGAATCATTTAATTTGCAAATCTTATCGAATCTATTTTTCTCTTGAAAACAATACTAAAGAATATGTAGATATTTTACACAAAATTTTAATTAATGGAGACAAGCTTAGAAATGTCAATATAATGTGCAGTTATAGTATGCCAGAACTTTTTGATTTTGTTATAAATGTAGGTTTTGATACGTGGAATTAAGGATACCTATATCTAAATCGTGGTCTTAAATATAAAACTTAAAACTTGTAGTTTTACTAGTAAGGTTGATTATCTGTTGATTCACTAACTCTTCAAGCTTTACAGGGATCGTCTAAATATAGGAGGACCTTGAGGTTAGATATTCTCAAATTAGCTACCTCTGATTTTAGCTGATTTTACTCCGAAAATTTAAATTTCGATACAGCTCTGATCCATTTAGATATCCGTTCAATTTTCTAAAACTGAGGTCTGACTGTGATGAAGAACCCAAATTATATATTTATTTTTTCATTTAATATTTTCTGTTTTTATTTAGTATATCAAAACGTCAAAATATTGTTCAAAGATGGTTGATAAAATTGAATTGGATAAAATTGGGAGTAGTTTTGATAGTTTAAATGCGAAAGCTGAAAAGGTTGAAGAGGCAAGTGAACGTCGGGGCAAACCGAAATACCAAATTTCCAACATTTATAATCCACAAATTAAATTCTCTATTGGATGTAGGGTATTTTCAAGCAATGGCGTTAAATTTAAACGAATTTATTGTTAAATTTTTTTTTTGATAATTTAATTTAAATTCACTTTTGGCGATGGACTGGATCTGCCTTGAATTTTTTGTTCTATGATTTTTTACAAAATTGCTTGTCTTTATTAGATATTGCAGGGCTCGGATTCGTACTTTTTTAAAAGTATTGTACTTTTTTATCGACCTCCGTACTTAAGAAATTGAATTTGTACTTTTTTGAAAGTTGTACTTTTTTATCAACATTTTTGAAAAAAACGAAGAAATCTGGCTTAAGGACCTCCAAAATTCTCAAAATTTTCGCCTGCGGCGCTGAAAAATGGAGGTTAATACTGTCAGTGCTTCACTCCTTGTGTCAGCGAATTTCGACATATCATGCATTGAAATGCACAAAATGCTCAGTGGAAACAAGAAATTATTAGAAAAGATTCATTTAGGAGGGAAATATGAAAAATTTGAGGACGAATAAATATTTCATAATTTAATTTGGAGTGTACTTTTTATTTGCAAATTTTCTCCCTATGTACTTTTTAATCAAGATTTTTGTACTTATGATTGCCATTTTGTCGATCCGAGCCCTGAGATATTGTTTAGTATAATTTCAAAGACCAAAAGTTGGTAGATTCAGAAAAGTCATTTCCGGTCTATGGTTAATTTTATTTGATTTTAAAAATCAGTTTTAAAATTTTTGTTTTTTTTTGATAAACATTATTAAAAAATTTTATATTTGTTTTTCAATATATGTATGTAGAATTTTTACAGAGAAATTTTTATAGTCTTCCGCTCGAATTAAAAAAAAATTCTTTCCAGAACTCTTTGATTTTGTTACAAATGTAGGTTTTTTACCTGGCATTAAAAATACTTTAGAAGATAATTATCTAATCCATGCTTTTGTAAAAATTTTGTTTTTACTATTAAGAAGTTGATTCGGTAGTATTCAATTTCGTTCCCCCCTCCTTTTTTCCTTCCTCAAAGTATTACAAAATGGTCAGTCATTCTTAAGTTATAGAACTCGTCGAGCTGTGTCGAATGACACCAAAATCAAAAAAATCGGACCTGATTTGACCGAGATACAGACCCCTGAAGATTGAACAACCATAGGGGCAAAAAACCATAAGAACGTAAATTTATACAAATGATAGCTAATTCGAAAGAGGTCGTCGATTTGAGCGAATGACACCAAAATCAACGTGATTGGACAAGATTTGACAAAGTTATGACATAAGTCGTCGATTCTGTTTGGTCTACATAATGTCATAACTTTGTCAAACCATGTCTAATCGCGTTGATTTATATGTCATTCGACTCAGCTCGACGAGTTCTATAACTTATGATTGACTGACCATTTTGTAATACTTTGAGGAAGGAAAAAAGGAGGGGGGGGGGAACGAAATTGAATTTTACCGTTGATTCACTAACCCTTAAATTTATAGGGATTTTTTAAATATTTGGACATAGATTTTAGAAACCCGAAAGTTAGACCTCAGAAATCGAAATTCGAAACAGCTCTGATCCATTTATATATCCGTCTTTAAACTCAATCTTCTAAAACTGAGACTGACTGAATTGAAAACCCAAATCATCTATTTTTTTAATTTTTTTATTTTAGTATATTAAATCGGCAAAAGATTGTTCAAAGATGGGGGATATTATTATATTAAATGGAATCGATAGTAATTTTGAAAGTTTAAACGATAAAGCTGAAAAGGTTGAAGAGGCACGTGGACCTTATGACAAACCGAAATACCAACTTTGCAACATTTATAATCCAAAAATTAAATTCTCTATTGTATGCAAGGGATTTTCAAACGATATCGTAGAATTTAAGCGAATTTATTGTTAAATCTTTTTTTTGATAATTTATTTTAAATTTACCTAATTGCGATGGACTGTATCTCCTTTGAATTTTTTGTAATCCGAATTATTTATGAAATGGCTTATGTTTTTGGATCTTTTTTAATATTTTAAAATCCAAAAGTCAATTTCTGGGTAGATTCAGAAAAGTCCATTTCCTTTCTATGGCTTTATATAATTTAAGAATCTGTTTTAAAATTTTTGTTTTTTGATAAACATTAAAAATTTATTATTTGTTTTTCAATATCTGTAGAATTTTTACAGAGCATTTTTATGTTTTATAAGTCGTCCTCAGCCGGAATTTAAAAAATTTTCCTTAACAATTTCATGTTAGAGTCTTAAATTAAGCGGAATGACAGAAAAAGTCGACATTAAAAAATAAATGATTTAAAATCTGCTATTTATAAAATTGCCAATATTTATGAACCAAAGTGAGATTTTCATTTTTCACTCAAGATTGGGAAGCTGGATTGATTTTTGATGTTAAAATTAAAATAAAGAAAGTAGAATTTGAAGGAGGAAAATCTATTTTTGGCCATATATATTTTAAAATGTAGAACTGTGAGAGGTATTGGGTTTAGTATAAAAGCCATTCTATTATTTAGTTTGGGCTTCAGTTTATTGTTATTTTATTACTACTCTGTAATTCTATTTTTGTTTGCAAAAATAAGTTCTGTATTTATTGTTAGCTACATATTTCTTATTGGTATTTTATTATTTATATCGAAAGCACAGTTTGTTGATACGTTTTTAGTATAAAGATTAAGTTAAACTGATTTCCTCATTTTAGTTTTCTTTTAATTTTTCACAATAAAACTGCAATTTTTCGATTTTATTAGGATTATTTTCCCTAATATTTCTTTTTTAGACAATTAAGAATGTTTTCTCTTCCAATTGAGGTTCAGCATGATGTATTAAAATGTCTTGATTTCGACCAATTATTCTCTATTAAACAAACCAATTTTTATTTGCGCAATTTAATTAATAAATATGAGGGAGGATTGGCACGAAAGAAATTTAGTGATTTCTCAATAGTAAATATTTATTCTTGTAAAGATTACTTGTTTCAAGTAGAGCCCGGCCGGAGGGGTCGGTCGATATTTTTCGATAGATATCGAAAAATATCGTATCGAGCTTGGCTCTAGTTTCAAGTACCCACAGCTATTTCAATCCTAAACTAACTGATTTTTTCTTTATTTTAAGATTAGTGAAAGTGAAAGGACGGGTTTTCTTGATTACATTGAACTTAAATCTGGGATTTTTGAATTTACTTTGGATGAACAAATTAAAGAGAAGGTTAAATTGATTTTTAATTAAATTACATTTTATTTTTTCAGTGGCAAGCAGCGATAGACAAATCAATTCCGTTGGTTTTAAATGAGTCTGAATCTGTAAAAAACTTGCTTATTAAAAGCCCTCATATGGTGTGCCAAAAAATGTATTTTTTTAAACTGCCAACAATTCCAAAAAATATTGAAGAAATGATTTACGTTCGTTGCTGGTTAGAACAACTATTTAATTGTGCTTTTAAATATATTCATTTTTCTAAATATTTATTTAATCCACAAATGATCAATATTTTATTCGATAACGACAAAACAATTTCTCTTAAATTCAACATTCAACAACCATTTTTACATCCTTGCGAAGAAACATTTGAAAGTCTTCTGAATTATTCTGTAAATCATTTATCAATTTCTGAAGCTTTTAGTGTCTATCTGGATAAAATTGACATTACAGAACAACATATCAATATTTTATTCAAAATTTTAATAAATGAAGGAAACAAACTTCCAAAGATTTATTTAAGAGGATTCAACTTAACAACGAAGCTTTATGATCTTATTATAGAAGTAAATTGTTTAAAATAGAATAGCACAAAACCGGTTTAATTTTGAAAAAACTGTATGCCGTTTATCAGAGACCCGTATACCGTTCCGTTCAATTACCAAAAAATCCGTTTACCGTATACCGTTTAGCTAAATGGTTTTGTGCTACCCTAGTTTAAGATTTAAAAATAAATCCAAAATTTAGTATATAGCAACTTCAATAGACTTTCCAAAAATTCTGCCTGTCATTATTTTAGATTATAGTAGTTCCAGAAATTTTAAATTAAGTGAAAGAGCAAAGAAGGTTGAAATTAAACAAGTGGATGATATAAAATTTACAAAATACCAAATTTCGAATATTCACAATCCAAAAGTGAAATTCTCGTTTTGCAATGAAGAGCGGGATGGAGTAATGTACTATATTAAAATCAGAAAAATGGAAGAGTAGAAGTTGAGTAGACGAAACCGAAATTTTATTTGATTTGTTGGAAAAAATTATTTAAAAATTTGTTGTTTTTGTTTGATTTTCGATTAAATTATTTTTGTTTTATAAAATTTGTTTCCAATTTTTAACAAGTTTAACCCTGGCAATTTATTTTTATCTTTTTTCAACTATTTTAGTAACCGCAGTTGCGACCTCGTTTTATTGTATGTACACTTTCGAGGGTAAAAAATATTATCTTTAGTGATTTATTTAGAATCTGAGGAATCTTCTCTAAACAAGTGGCCAAAAAATTTAAAAAATATTAACTTGTATCTATTTTTGGTCATGTATTTAAAATTAAGAACTGTGATGGGTATTTTCTTCAGTATAAAAACAATTCTATTGTATAGTCTGACTTTATTCTATTATTAATCTTTTATTCTATTTTGCCTCCAACAACATTCATCGCTTATTGTTAGCTAGGTATATTCTATTGTAGTTTGTTATTCGTATTATTTTTATCGCGTTGAAGCACAGTTAGTTACAGTCTTATTTCGTTTATTCTTTTGTTAGTACTAAGACAATGGAGTTTATTGCCTAACAAACTATTCAGATTTTTAAATAATTTTTTAACTTAATTTTCAGTGCTTTAGCTTCAAAAAATGTTTTGTTTTCCAGCAGAAACGACACTTGATATTTTAAAATTCCTCAGTTATAAAGAATTATGTTCAATCAATCAGACAGATTTATATTTTCGTGATTTCATTAACAATTTTGAGGGAGAACTTGCCCGAGAAGAGTTAGATTGCATTTCTTTTGTAAAGCTGTTAAATTAATTTAATCTTAAAATATTTTTAAGGAATATTTCGATCAAGCTAAAAGAGATCCTCATAAATTGATTAAGACTGAAGGTGAAACTT